CCACCCCCCTCACCCCCCCCAAATCAGGAGCCTCAGAGAAGAAACAGGCCAAGGCAAATTTTTTTCCTCCCCTAATAGCAAAATAGATTTCAACTGCTGTAATACAGTAGATTATAAACAGCTCTTCTGCGTGACAGAACACGGTACAGATTGCATACACGGAACCACTGGTGCCAGGGCCGCGGCCTGTGCACATAGCAGCGTGGGGTGGCTGCTGGGCCATTCAGGAGCCTCAGAGAAGAAACAGGCCAAGGCAAATTTTTTTCCTCCCCTAATAGCAAAATAGATTTCAACTGCTGTAATACAGTAGATTATAAACAGCTCTTCTGCGTGACAGAACACGGTACAGATTGCATACACGGAACCACTGGTGCCAGGGCCGCGGCCTGTGCACATAGCAGCGTGGGGTGGCTGCTGGGCCATCCTCTGCTTGTGCACCTCTCCCCTGCCACCGCAGGTGAAGGGGCAGCAATGGCTTCTTGGCCACAGCTGCAAGCACAGGGAGAAGACGAGGCTGAACTTGGCTGGCTCGGAGGTACTGCGGGAAGCCAGTCCATAACCCTGGTGCCGCAGAGCGCGTGGGCTTGATCACAGCTCACGCTGGATCGCCGTCCTTCCAGGCCATCTACATTCAGAAGGTGGGAGCTCAAACAGTTCAGTTTTCCTTTAGCGGGTGGACTGATTTCACATCAACCATGCCATTTCATATTAAAAAAAATACATCAGGATTTCCCCCCCTCCCACCACAGCACGTAGCACATGCCGTACTCGGACGGCTGTTGCGGATAGCACACAGTGAGCAGCTCAGATGCAGGACTGCTTCACCTCTGAAGGCTGGAAGCTAAATACCCCAACGGAAAGGACGTACTAGGTGTGACTCTGCACAGGTTCAGTCTTCCTGAGAACAAACTGTTATCTGCATGAAAACCGGGACACGTTTCACCATATTAATACCGATTTTTGTGATGTTATTGAGGAAGGAGCTGCAGCTGTACTGGCTGCCACCCAAAAGCTGGAGGCTTCCCACCTCAAAACTGAGGGAGTTACCATGGAAGCAAGCTGCACAATTCTTGTGTTGGGAAGAACCACAAAAACCAGTACATACTATTATTAAGAACTTGTGAAGGGCAGGTTGTGAACCTTCGCATCCTCATTATTGACCAGAACACCATATTGCTAGCTCCGGCACTCACAGCCTAAGAGAACTCGAACAAACATGGTATAATTGACTCTAATTAAACAAGCAATGTGCAAAAGACGTAGTATTTCCCCTCCAGTACTCTTGTGAAAAATGAAAATAAGCCCACATTCAAAAGCAATTTAAAAACACCATGAAACTGAAAGTAAACCCAATTGTTAATGCCCTGACAGCACAATTACCAGATGCCTTGATCTACAAGGCTAAAAACCTCAACCTGTCAAAAACGAAGACTAGTTCCAACAGCTCAGCACCCCTTTCTGGTTGCCTTTTGCTTGCCAGATGCTCAAGCCCTCAGGCTTCAAACAGCGAGGACGCTGACACAGTAAATGCTGATATTCTTTATTAGGAATATGACAGTGCCAGCTGCGAGGGAAACACCCAAACTTGGCACAGAAGTACCATGATTTGATCTCCTTTTGAGAACACTGAGACAGTAGCAAGACCTGACACATGCATCAAGAAGACAAATCAAGTCCCTAATCCATCACACCCTATTTGAGTGCAGTTACATCGGTACGTAAGTGTTTTGAGCACCACAGCTAAAAAGTACTGGACTGAATTTCATCCTATACTAAGGAGGTGACAAAGCTGTTTGGCCAAAGGGGTTTGTTTGGTGTTGTTTTTTTTTTCCCCCCAAAAAGGAAGCTTCATTGCTCCAGCACTTCTGTCCCTTCCTCCCACAAAAGGTATGGTGAAAGATTTAGGATTAATCAAACTGAATGAGGATAAAGTAATCCATTTCACTCTCGGGATTTTATACACTAATACTGCCAAGTCTGAGTATCTACACGAATCCCTTCCTCTGAAATAAACCCAACTGTTTCAACAAACAAGTTCTAGTAGGAGGTATTTTCAGAGGAGAGCCACATACGCGAACGCTGTGTTTGGCAAATTTGACCTGACACAGTATCCTTTCTGAAGCGCAGGATTCCTTCTTACAGAAAACTGAACTGGAAGAGTTTAAGTATCGCCTAGCTTTCATGAAATTACTTTTGACTCAGGTTAGTAAAAATAGAAGCCCAAAAGATAGTCTTAAGTGGATTGGGAGACAAGTCCATCAACAGTCCCAATACTGCTGGTATCAAATACCTAGGCTGTAGGTCAGTAAGGAAAAGCTGTTACCAAAAAAGTGCCAATAAAGAACATTTGAGTAATTCAGAAATCCCTGTGACCAAAGTTAAGGTACCTCCATCAGGTTACCCTCCCTCTCCAATAACGGGAGCTGCAGTTCCAGTAAAACTGGAGAGAGACATACCCAGATACTATGTAAGTTCCCTTTTGTGCTTAGCATCTGACAGAACAAGGAAGCTGAAGGGACTCATCCTAATTAATAGAAATTGAAACACCGAATTCACATAACGCTTCTCCCTTGAGCAGTGTGTATGGGAGGATGTCCTACCTCTTCAGAAAGAAGAGGGCAATACCTAGGAAACTGATCTTCACCTGAAGTCCCCACGTAAAAGCAGACACAGGCAGATGAAAAAGCAGCTCTGACCCCAGCCACTGCATCAACCCTCATTTCCCACCGAGGGTGTTAGAAGCTGCTACAATACACGTCGGCAAGAGGCACCAAGATGTGCTGGCATATTGAACTGGACATAGCCATTTCGGATGAGAATGTGCTATGTACCTGTAAAGTTGATTGCATTTTCTTACAGTTGGGTCACAGTATTTCAAATCTTTCACACTAAAGAAAGCCTTAACAACTTGTATACCTTAAAGCACCTGCCAAATTAAAGCAAAAGCTCTTTTACAAGTTAATTGTGTTAAAAGAATTGATTATCTGGAGCAAGAGAAAGAGCGAGCTAGAAGAAAAACCTATTCCTCAAGTTGCAAGGGCCTTTGGAGAACAAAAATGCTGTAAGTCAGTTTGGAACGTAATGAACACAGAGAAAACAAATTTTCACTGTAAAAAGTCATATAAAGACTGCACACACTATGCCCTGCTTCTGAACCTGATTCTCCAATGCAGCCACAAGTAAATTGACAATCCCTTCTTTCTCTGCCCATTTTAAATCTGTAGGCAGCCAACACACAGAATGCAGTTCAAAGCCATCCAGGAATACTTTGGCTATTTTCAGAGCAAGGAGGCAAATATCCTGTTGTTCTGCCACTTGTCCACATCATAGCGGCAGACAGGGACACAAAGAATAGAAGTTTTGTAGACACCCCATGACCAAAAGGGAGAAAAAGATTGCAAAAGGTACGGCTAAGGAAGATGGACGGACGCTAACAATGAGCTACTAGCAAATCTGACTAGACTATCTGATGTCCAGAAGAGCAGCAACCTGGGGGGACCCCTGGATGAGTAGGATTCCAGTAGCTCCACCTTCAGCTCACTGTTTTTCTGGCAAGGAAATGGCTCAAAGTAGGATAGCACGTAGTAGATGCTGCCTATGAAGCCCGTGGCAATCCAGGTCAACTGGTTTGCCTCAGCAATGTTTAAAAATTACAGTTTCTCCCCAATAATCAGGAGGCACAACTTCCCTTAGAAAAAGCCCATAGTGAGTTAGGTCATTGGTCCAAATACTTGGAGGACAACTCTGATCTTCTGCGATGATGACACGGCCAGAGCATACACTTTTCACATCTTCATATGACATGACCATGAACGTGGTTTTAAGTAGTCCAGGATCGTGGGCTGCAAAACATGGAGAGGCAGCAAGTTAGTCACAGGCCAACAGCACCAGCTGTGGTGTGGTCTGCCGAAGTCAAACTTCCCTAGCAGGAAAGATCAAACCGCATTTTCACATCCTGCAACCCTATTCTTATCCTCACTAAACAGTGTGTGGAAGTGCAGCTACAGTCACAACAAGCTGTTTGCCTGCCATCCGCCTTAACCCTAGTTCTGACGCATCAGCTAAATGCTGTGTCTAGTAGCATATTGTATCAGGAAGCCAGTCATTTACGATGACAAACTCTTAAGTGAGGAGAATCAAAAAATAGTTTGCCCAGGGACATCTTTGCTTAAAACTGAAATCAACTAGGACAGCAAGAAGTTTTATGTAGAACAGAATCTGATGGCAAGAAAATGAGTTCTAAGTCAGAAAGTAACACCAACAAAACCCCAAACTGACCATTTATAGGCAAGCAATTCTCACTGCCACCCACTCTAGCCTGGGAGAGACACAATAGGCTCAGTTTTTGTGAGCCTCCTAGAAAGGCTTCTCCTGACCTCACTGGCCAAGTGCTGCAGTTCCATTCACACAGCCTGAATGGCCTAGCGTACTCTCAAGTAGTGGCTTATGTCCTCAGAAACGTGGGAAAACCACCCTCAGTTTCAAGTAGTGAAATACCATCAGCATAGAAAGAGCACTAATAAAAGCACTTTTGTTAGAAAAAGTTTTACCTAGGTTCTCTAGTTTCTAGACTAAATAACTCCTAATGAACTTATACAGCACACTGCCAGAAAGGCTCATGCCATTTAACTTCTGCCCTGTCCCCACAGCAAGAAAGGACAAGCCACTCGCACGGTCAGTTATCCCACAGGAAAGGTCAGTCACTCACATTTTCCATAGGGCAGTACTGGCGGGCATACCACTCCTGGCTGTAGAGGCAAATGATGACACCTTGGCCCAGGAAGAGGGATGTCCACATGATCACGTTCCAGATGGGCCCTTTCCGACGGTCATTAAGGATGAAGTTGAAGACCACTGGAAAGGGGTAAAACAAGAAGCATCATTCAGAAACAAACTAAGGAATAAAGAATCAAAGACCAGCTGAGTTCACTGGATCTTTCCCTCCCTTCACTTCATCTCTGGAGCAACAAGGCTGCTCCATGAGGTCAGTATAGTGCAAGAAAATCTGATTATGCTTGGCAGTAGAGCAAATACTATGAGTTGATTCTGACATTTACTTCCAAGAGGTTTGCCAACAAGCTGGACCAGCTGCAGGCCTCTGGGGATCAATATTGTTTGTGTCACACTGGTGACCAAGACATGCTAGCAGAGGTGGCCTAGAGTTTATTAGAGCCCTCTAACTCATTCTAGCTCAAAACCCAAAATAAAATGCAAGAGCTTTAACTTCTAAATGGGCTCTCTTCCTCACTGCAGTAGTAAAGTAATACTTGTTTTATGCTATGACTTTAAAGAGGAAGACTTCCAGCCTGCTGACATACACCAATTCAATTCAGGCTTGGCAAAGAAGAAGCAGTGCTATTAAAATGTGTACAGTGTCACATGAACAGCAGTATATCATATATAGCTCCTCTTCCTCCCCATCCATACCTTGCTCATCTCAGTCCCAAGCTTGCAAACCCAGTGTGGGTTATATATACATATATATACACACATATACCTACTGAGCTACTTGGCTGCAAAAATCCATTCACAAAGTTTGGACCCACAGTTCCAACTCTTGGACAAGAAACAGTTCTGTGTGTTAGTGCCTAAAGGATAACTGGCATCAGAAGAGCAAAGCATGCTTGTTTAAAAAAAAGGAAAAAGCCACAAACCCCACAACCCACTCATACACTCTCTCCCGGGAACTTACTTCCAAAGCACATAAACAGGCAAAAGAGAACTGGATAGAAGTAGCCGAAGCAGATGCTCAGAACATATTCGTGCACAGCAGCTGATACTGTGAAGACAGATAGCATAGCTGCTGCTTTGAACTTCTTACCAAAAAACTGGAAGAGAGAAGAATACCAAGCATTATAAGCTATTCTGCTGTGGTTTTAGTTCGGTTGTTTCAACACTTTTTTTTTTAACCTGAGCTAAGAACGGCCTCCTGCAGCCAAGAGGCATACATGAAATGCTAAGTGCTTTACAGAGCACCTTGGATTTTAGGTGTTTTTCTTCAGGCGTATTTCTGGTCTCCTGCATAAGTACTCAGGTTGAGCCCACTCATGAAATATCTATCATAGCTCATCAAAATAGTGCAACGTGAGTTCAGACTGTTGAGTCAATTCTTACATTCCTACATCTCAGACCCACATTTTGCACACATTAAGGACTTGGAAATGAGCAACGGATCTCTCAAAACCACAGTGGCTACCCACAACAGCTGAGGCAAGACATTTTTGTGCTTCTCAATGGACAGTGATGCTGCATCTTGACAAATGTACTGCCTTGCCCAGTAGTTAAATGTTTAATTAACAAAACAGAAGAATACATCTGCTTGTTACTCACCCAAAGGAAGTCCCTGTAGGCATAGTAATAGAGCCAGTCATGCACTACCACGTTCCAGGTTCGGTAGTAGTTTGCATAGGAAGTGGAATTCCACCAGTCCTGAAAGCACAGTTGAAGGACTATAAATCTAATTAAGCATAAAACATTCTACAGGTCTTTTCTGGGATATCAAGTTGAAAAATACCTATCAGAATAATACCAAGCTAATATAACAAGTTGCACAATGAAATAATGCTTTCCATTGCACTTTCGACATTCTACTCCATATATCAAAGTTTGGTTTTATCCCAAACTGCAGTGGCTGAGATAAAAGAATAAAAAGAGCGCTAATAGAGTTATTGGGTAGGTCTAGTGGCTGGTTTTGTTTGTGCACAGGGTATATTACCTTAAAAACAATTCAGACTGCCAAGGAGAAGTCAGATCTGTTCTACAGCACAGCAACAAACTTAAGCCCTAACAGCATAAAACAAGCAAAACCCTGTGGATGCTTTGTTTGGTAAGACATCTTCAGTTTCCTCCCCTTTCCTTTTCATTAGGAAAATGAACTTTAGAAGCTTTATAAGCTATAACTCCTGCTTCTCACCTTGTAGAACATCCTATCTGCAAAGCGCAGCATCTCAGCAAATGCGTTGAGCCAACAGTGAAGGAATGCAAAGAAAACCAGGAAGAGAATCAGTACACCTACAAACAAGATAGATTCAGACCGGTTTTGTAGTGTTTTTTCTCAGCTATAAGCAAGAGCATGTAACGCAGTCAAGACTGTTCTATAGGCACTGACAGATGAGCTTTGTGCTACCTACACAAAAAAAGTAAAAGTATTCCAGTTTCTCACCACACCAGGCCATGCTTACCCCAGAGGGCAATAGCAAGGCTGCCACAGAGCCTAGAACTTGGCTTTGAAGACAGTTAAATTCAAACCCAAGCTTTTATTTTGTGCCGCTGACTCTAAGTTTGACACCATAACGTTGAAGTCTGCCCACAAAACCTCCTTTGCTGATCTTTGACTGTCATGAATGCATCTCATACCAAGCACTTCCCCTCCCTTCCGCCTCTTCCATAGATATAGTCACTCATGAATCCGGGTCTTACCTGGCAGAATGGAATTGAAGATGCAGAGGACCAGCCCTCGAAGACTGAAGGTTTCTTGACTACTGTTGCGAAACTGAGGAATGCAGAGTCTCACAAAGATGTAGTAGGCATAGAAAAGCGAACCAAGCACCTGGAACAAAAAAAAGTCTGACTCCGTAAGAGAAACGCACAATTAGCACATCACCACTTGACAGCTCTAGGAGAGGAACAGCAGCTGCCAACACAAGTCAAAGTAATTTATGTTACATTGCTGCTAATAAACTTCCCTAAGGGTCCAGACAGAAAGTAAGCCACAGCCATCTCTGCAGCACATTGACAGCCAGAAGCAAAAATCAACTTGTCTTTAGACCTACTACAGCAGGTGTAAGTTTCTCCTAGACCTACCAACTCAGAAGTTATGACACAGAAGATTTGTGCCAATGCCAAAGTAAGTGGGGAAAGTACCCTGTGATCTAGGTTTGAGACAAGGGCAGAAATACTTGAAAAATACTTACTGTAGTTAAATCTAATATTAAAGCTTACTTTTCTTTTATCTCAAAGGAGACGCTTACAGGCCAAATCACCTCAGGCCTTCTCTGGCTCATGAACCCATGTTCTGGAAGTTGAGGTCAAAATGCAAGTCACTGCTTTAAATACTCTGACTGCTGTAAGCCAGGTGTGTGCTTTGTCACCCTCTTTTGTCAAAGAACAAGCAGCCAAAGGCCTTTTCATGCTTCGTGTTTGGGGGTTTTTTGGGTTTTTTTTTTTACTGTTTTGCTTTTTTAAACCATGAATCCATTGTGTGACAGTAAAAGTTTCAATCGTGCAAAGCCATTACTTGGAAACACATCCACAAGAAGCAACTGAAGCTCATGTCCAGACAAATATGAAGATCAGGTCAACCTTGAGCTCAAATAAGCACTGAAGATTTGAACTCCAGGCCTCATTATTTCAAAATTGGTCTGAATATCTGCAGGCGGGTAGGTAGCTGTGCCAGTACAATACAATACAGCATCAGTGTAAAGGAAGAGGGCCAGAGCATGGATATTGCGCTCCACACACACATGCAGCATTTGTTTGCATGGAATGGAGTCCAAAGGCTTGTTTAAGCAAGGATTTTTTTTTTTTTTTTTTGACACCACCATTAGTGCAGCAAGATCACTTTCTTTTTTTCCTCACTAAAAAGTATTCTTCTCTGGTAAGCCCCCACCAAGGAAACAGTGATTTAATGCCAAAGGGAGAACTGTTTAGCAACACAGTTTAGATGATCTCTGAAAGTGCATTCTTCAGAAAGCTGCAGTACTCACCTGTGCAAACTTGGTAGCTACATAGCCCCATCTTATCATGGGATTCCTAGGAAAGAGAACATGTGATATCATATCTAAATAGGACCTCAAAGCAGCAAAAACCTCCCTTCAGTTATTGATTCTACTGACCTATACTCTGAAAAAAAAAGTTTTTTGATTTCCAGAGTTCTTAATCTCCTGACATAGAAGAGAGATCTGCCCAAACTGCTGGTTCCTACTTTCAACTACAGCAGGACAACTATGGCAATTCCATAAATGGAAAAGTATCTGGAGGGCAGCATTACACAATTACGTAGGAGGTGGCGATCTGCCCAATAGCCACATAAAGGACTGCTGACTTGACACTGTCAAAGTGCAACCCAGCAAAGTACAGAAAAGTTTGGGAGTTCCCAGTTTTAAAGGCTTCAGCCTACCTCCTCAAAACTCAAGAGACAGGGCTGCTTATTAGCACCACATAAAACAACACACAAGCCTACTACAGGAACTGTGTGTCACTAGATATTGAGTAGCAAGTGCTTAATTTGTTTCACTTCAAGTGCACCTCCCAAAGAAATAAAACCAGAACTGTAAAGTCAAAATACTATTAGCGTTACAGTGAGTTTTCATGACCAAGTCCTGCTCTTGCCAGGCTACTGACTTAACCACATCTTTATGAAAGCTCTAACTCATAAATTGAATAGATCACATTAAGGGATGCTTAACGTTGGCTTCAGTTTTTAGACTACTTTAATGTTCTATTAGTGTTGCTCACATTACCTGGGATAGTTGTCTCTGTAGATGAGGGTGGGAGCGAAGAGGAAGTACAGGTATTGAGAAATTCTGGGAATAGGTACTGTGCCTGGAAGAGGGGAAGATAAAAAAAGAACACTCTGCAATCCTTCTGCTTACTGAAGGTTCGGTTTCCCCAGTACCCTCTCACAACATACAACCCTTATCACCTCAAAAAAACATCAGTCTGGAACTAAAGGTATGGGATTTGCAGAGAATAAAACAAACTAGATTTATCAGATGGAATCGCCCCCCCATGAAGCATAGTTAACAAGTGAGGGTGACTAACAGGTAGTGCAGTGCTAACACCGTGATATCACATTTCCTTTCCTCCTAGGAAAGATGAAGCTGCAAGGCCTGTATCAACATGTGGGTTCATGTTCAGTTCTGGCATGCCTTGCTGAAATAGCTTCTGTGCTTCTACAATTGCTGTCATTTTGACTAGAGCACTGAACTGGGGGTGTGCAGGCAGCCTCTACACACCTTTTTCTCCAAAAAGCAGAAATAAGGAGTCCTGTTGGAACAAGACTTAAGACACAGATGACTTCAACCTGAACACAAGACAGTCTAGCTCATTGCCTAATACCAAATGAAAAGGTTCAGGCTGAAATTATGATGCAGAAGGTCAGCCTAGAGCCTCATCACCTGCCCATCCAAAGTCACCTACTCAAATCCTACCTCTCCAATTCATGAGGACAGCTCAAAGCAATGGAGGGAAAACAAGAGCTGGTTATGCACTGCTGTCAAAAAAAGTAGGGCAAGTTACTCACTGGACTTGTCCTTTACAGAGGACAGGACTCTGGGTACATTCTCCCGGACGAATGAATGAGCCTTCATAACAAGACGAACCTGTAAGACCGACAGAGTATCAGTTTAATATTCTCACTTTCTCAACTTCCCAATAAAGACTGGATCAAGGATTTTAAGGCAACACCTTTAACATCTTGGTTTCTCTCCAATTTACCCCTTTTACAAGGAAAGGGCTGCTTCCTCTGCCCACAAGCCTGTTTAACCAACATGAATTTAAAACACTGCCAGGTGAAATGCACAGTAACAATCATGAGTCAGGAGAGTCAAAACACATCTCATTTACACTCACAGGACCACAGCATACACAAGGACTCCGAATCACACCAGTAAGTCACTAAACAATTAACATTAACTGAAAATTGAAGCAAAAAACCCCTTATCCTTTTCAATAGGCCAGTATGTTTCAAAGTCGTGAAACTGACTCCTTTAAGTTAGATGTGTTCTACAACAACTACCACTACATTGGAATAAGGTGGTGCCCCACATAAATAGTCCCTGAAGGACCAAAAGGAGGGCTAGTCCAAAGTTAATTCTTCAAGCCTACACTCTCATCTCTGACCGCCCTTGTTTTAACCTGATGGTCTGACCAGTCCTCCACACTCTTGCACTCTTCCGCCCCTTCCCCCGAAAAAGAAAATTCTACTTTCAATAAAGTTCTGACAACAAGACAAAGAGTTGCTTTTTGGGAACAGAAAGGGAAACAGGAAGAACTTGTTGACTATTTACTTGCCTTTTTTTTTTTTTTTTTTTTAAGAGGAATGCTACAGCTTCCTTGTGAACTATGGCACAACAGGTTCTTAAAATTGTTTTTAAGCATTTAGCATCCACAAGACAACTAGAAATAAATGGAATTTCAGCCTTGAAGAATGTTCAGAAAAAAACCACAGTAAAATCTTAAATACCGGGGAAAAAACCCAAGTGGTTTCCAGGTCAAAAATGAAGTTTACTATCTACTTTTTCTCATTAGACTTGCTGCATGTAGGTCTGTCTTCAAGTCAAAGACAAACTCCATCCACAGGCCTGGCTTAATTTAATGAATAAAAGCAACACTTGACTCCTTAGGAAAAAGGACCCTTTCCATTCTGAAAACAAGATTCAGTGTATCCAAAGATACCGGGTAGGGACCTACCTGTTCCAGTATTACAATAAAACGGGAAGCCGGAGGCAGGGCATACGATACAGCAATATAGGTTGGTCCAAATCCAAGCCCAGCTGTTTGGAAGAGCGTGAACAACATCCCATAGAAGAGAGAGTGGAGTACACGATGGGAGGAACTGCAGTAGCCTTGGGCCCACCAGACAAAAAGGTTGTATGGAACGATAACTGTGGCACAGAACATGCACAGCCAAGTACAGAAGACAACTGGGAACTTCCCAAAAACAAAGACCAAGAGATCAAATCCTAGGACCAGCCTAGAAGGCACAAGGAAAGAGACAATATTCAGCGTCCACTGTTTCATTAGAAATACTTCTACTCCACTAAGTGGCTACAAAATGCAAAGCTTCCAGATCATAATTGTTTGACAGTCTAGATAGAAGTGACTGTGACAATTTTCAGCTCAGAAACAGAGGGCTGTCTGTGGCAGAGTTAAGTGACCACCCACAAGCACATCAGAAAATAACAGATGAAGGACTCATGCCATCAATGCTGTCAGGCACAGCTTACCTTCAAATCCCACAGGGCTTAAGCACATCTTTAAGATCAGCACGTGCTTTAACAGTAAGCTCAAGCTCATCTCTGCTAAGAACAAGCACGTGACTAAATGATCCACTGCTGAACCAGGGTCCAAAAGAGCTTTTGGGGAACACTCCCAAGACATCATTACTGTTCGGTTAAGAATCAGTTCTTCCCAGGAGTTTAACACCTAAAGAGGCTTTTTCCCACCTCTATAGGCGTGAGGTATTTTAACATCTAGCACTGAAACCTAATTTAATTCTGCTTTGTGAAAACTGTAGGCATTCCACATGGATTCAGTTCAGAAGTCACCCAAAAGACTTAGGGTCATTAGATGGTCAGTCCAAATATGTCCATGTGGTGTGCACCTGGTCCTTTATTTCATTAATCAAGCTTAAAACACAAGGACATAAACAAAAGGATGTTCAACCTTACTGGCTATCAAAGTCACCAGAGCTTACTCTTACTCATAAGCAGCTCTTCTGAACCAAGGTCAGAGGAGAAGGTAGTACAGACTACACCAACACAATTTATTTGTTCTCATGTGGAGGCTCAATTGCAAATTGGATCCAAATTATCAGATCTAGCTGAGAACATAGCAGTGATTTTTTTTTTTTTTTAAGTAATCAGAGATTCCAGCCCTATTAGTTGATTTTCGAGTTAAATACCTATTCTCCCCCAGTGTCCATACACCATTAAGTTAGGATCAGCTAAACAATATTCAATAGTGCATGAGCCTGTTCTTATACCTAGACAAGAGGGACAATGATTATAATCAAGATAGAGCTCTAGTTTTGTACACTGAAAATCAGATAATCAGCAAGATAAACATGTAATCCTACTTGTGTACACGGGATACAGCTTGCCAAAAAGATGCTATTTAAAGCAACAAGCGAGCATGAGGAAAGCAGTCTTTCACAATCTTGTTCAGAACTGGCTACCTACAAAGCACAATCTTAACAGAGGCTGTGCCAGTATCCTTGAGATTTTTTCCCCAGGAAAAACAAAAAGTTCTATTTTTATTTAAGCACAAGTACAGTGTTCCAGAACTGTCATTTTTAAACAGAGGAAGGACTGCTGAAGTATTTAAAGTTTTTCTAAACACACTCCTCCTTCAAGCAACGCAAGCAGCTGAAAGCTACTGTTTCATTAAATATATTCAACTAGAGCAGTCCACATTCAATAATGACCCCTCCCTTTTGCCAGCCTTGTGATGAATAAGCACATTAGGCCGAACTGTGCTGGCAATAATTCTCATGGAATACACCAATCTGTAGGATTTCTCTAACATCTAGCTATCTGATTTGAAATTACTATATCCCCTCAACAGGAATTCCAGCATATATTTTAAGTATGTCAAATTGAAACCCCCCCTTCCAACAACATCCCAAGGAAAGATTCCTCCTTCTTTCTTCACCATTCTGCAGTTTCATGTACCTCTGGTGCTTTGGAATCAAGCATTTCCCTGCCCTGGTCCCCGTCTTTCCAAAGCATTCTTACCTTCCTTCATCAATGAAGTCTACTAAAAGTGTGCTGAGGATGAAGACAATGAGAAGAGCGATGAACATGTGGTAGATCGTCCTGATGTGACTCACTTCAAACAGCTCACTAAGAGAGAGATTCGAATGCTATCAGACCATTCGCACGTAGCACATCACACCTCCAGTATGTTAGCTTTCAAAGTGTTTCACAGTAAGGTAAGATGACATCACTGCCATCTCAATTCAAAAGACTGAAGTTAACGCACAATTTGGGTGCCAGTCTACACAGACACTTTCTCGGTTTATCCTCAGATAAAAGATAATTAGCCATTATCTTAGTGGTACTGAGAGGACTGTAATTAAGGTTTACATTTCGGAAGCTTGCAAGCTGTAGTAGAGATGTTTTAGAAAGAAACAGAGAAGTTTAGACAGATTAGTCCACAGGGGTTTGAACATAAGACCACGCATGGTGGTGGTGAGAGTACCTCAAAGCAATGGCTAGCTAGTTTGCTATCAAGGGTATTTTCAGTCAATTTAATGGAAAATGTGAAGTTAAGTTACTCACTCCAAGAGGGACCTTCTGGCAGTAAAGATCTTCCCATGTTCTGGAGGGGCCCTCAAAGTCCTGCAAAGAGGAGAACATTTGAGACAAGAAAGGAAACAAGGCTTCCAGGAAACATAACCTTGTTATAGGGACAGCTTGAAACTGACTTACTTGGCTTTGAGCAGTTCCTTCTCTGAGCAGGAAGCTGGGAAGAGGGAAGCTGAAGATGAGGAGTCTAGGAGTACTGATTTTGCTACCAAACTGTTCACAAACTCTGTGAAGTGACTGTCCACTTCCTTCATAAAAGCTGGCTTCAATTGCTGGTAAGAGTAAACACAGAGCAGAAGATTGTTTAACTCTCTGGATACATTTTCGTAAAATATTTATATTCCTTTTTATCACAGAGCAGGACAGAGCAAGGCATCAAGAAAGACATTCCTGTACCATCTGCCAACAGTTGGAGCCAACTTGGACAAGATCAGGGGCTTATCCTGGCCTGTTCACACACCTCAGGCCAGAGGACTTTGAATAATATTTATCTCCTCTATCAGATGCAACACAGAGGAGCAAAGTAAACATAATGATCTTCATATATATGTCTGGAGTATCAGGTATTTCACATATTTTATGGTGCCAAGAAGGCTGAGCTAAACTTAATATGTGAGCCCCAGAAAACATTTCTCAACTTTAACCCATTACATCCTTAGCATACAAAACAAATACAACAAGATTTACTTTTTAGCCCATCTAGTGTTACTGAGGGAAAAACAGACCTTTTCATACTTGTGGCTAAGCAATCACCATTGATGTTCTCAGGCATTAATGCAGAAGCGATCTCAATGATGTGAGTGCAGGAAAAAGGACCAAATTTACCCTTCCACTGCTACCACTGTTTGGATGGAAACTTTCGTGTACCACTGAAGTTACAGAATGCACAGAAAATTTCCACTAAAGCAACAGAATAGGGTAACATTGCTAAGCATTAAGACTGAGCAGTCAGAGAGACAAAACTGGTATGCAGCAAGACTGAAGTTCAAGAATTCAGGGGATCAAATATCCCAGTTGAATCTTCTATGCTCCCTTTTCTTCAGACAGCTTTACATAGGTTATCTGCTCTAGCACAGCCAGTTGTGACAAAGTTGCACCATTTTTAGCCTATTCATATTTTTCTTCTCTCATTTTATCAGACAAAGGCAACTTCTGAAACATCTGGTTTACTAGAGACCTCGACTTCTAAGGGTGCATGAAAAACCACCGATGAGCATCCCCCTCTCTACCATCTTTTTGGCAAAAATGCACTGATACAGTACAAAAAAAAAAGGAGATAATCAGCTGTGGATAAAGCATAGGCCACCCTGGTCAAAGACTGCTTGCTTCACCTGATAAAGAGTTTCTTTTCTAGAAAGGAAAACATTACTTAACCCTCCCAATAATAAGTTATCCAGACAAGGACTATAATTCATCTTCAAAAGGCAGATTGTAAAATGCTAAGATGTTTTCGTATTCCTTTTGTCTTGCCTGAAAACTAGCACGTGTAATTCATTCCTGTACTTTCCTGTCTGCAATATAGTTGGATCTGCTATTTAGTCTCATAACATGAACTTTCAAAGACCTGACCTCCCACACCCCACGTAGAGTTTTTAAAACTGGATGCATTTAGAAGAAACTGAGTAATAAAATGGTCAAAGTTACTTATTTCTGCAGAAAGTGCTACACTGAGTTTTGTATAGCTCTTCGCTGTGGTGCAAATTCTCTTACTCTTTGTATGTAGAGAGGATCCTGAGATTTGCACAGTGGCGTGTTATTCTTATGACTAGAAAAAAGCAGGCAAAATTAATTCCCTTAAGGAAAGAAAAAGGCAACATGCATTCACGGTATTTCAGTGAGAACTTTGGGAATCTAAAGATCCTAAGATCTCTAGCACTTCAGAAGACAGTGATTTACAAGACTTCCGAGAATTCAGTTCCTTAATGTCAAGTCCTCAGACACCAAATGGTTTTCCCAATACCTGAGCCTTGTGATGAAGCATGGCTGAAAGCTAACCCCCGAGTTCCTGAACTGAATTCCCGAATTCTGAATAAGCCTTTCGAGAACACTCTGCCAGATAGCCATCGTCTTCAGCACAGGAGATAAGCAAGTTTCAAGAAATGACTTCAAATCTAATTGCATACTCTGTTTTGGTTTTTTAATGCAAGCGTCTACTAGCAACATTTGTCTGACCATCCTTTTGCCTGGGATTTTTCAAGTTTGCCTCCAGATTCAAGGTCCAAGTCTTCCTACATGATTAATCATATTATGAGTATGAATAATCCTCCTTCCTACATATTATTTCATCTAGTCTTCCTACTGATCAGCTGCTTAACAAACACGTATGTTTCCCTGATCACCTTCAGAATTCCCAACTGCTACCTATTTTCTAATCTTTAAGGCTGAAAAGTAACAAACCCAAGAAATCAATTTTCAAGGAGGGAAAGAAAGAGCCTGGAAGTTGTGGACAAAAATGATGCTTCTCAAAAAGGCATTTGTGACACTTGAGCTCATTTGTCAGTAGGTGTTTATGTTTCAGTGCCTAACTATTATGCTAAAGAAAGCTGGAGCAGCATTGTTTTTGCTAAAAAGGAACAAGCACAAGGTCTAAGAAAAGAAGGAAAAGCCAGATAACTGAAACAGGATCTGTTAGCTCTAAGCTGCAGCAGTGATACGTTTGCCTCTTACACAGACCTCTTTCCACAGCTATGTTTTAAGGAGTCTATTTCCACTGATGGACACTTGTCATCCATGATATATCCTTCATTTCCAAGCACACTTGGATTGATTTTATACAATAGATCACCCAAAAAACTAAGCTAAAAAGCCCTCTCTAGAAGCAAAACTTGTAGGCTAACAAAATATATTAATAGATGATGTATTCTTACAAAATGCTACTAATACGACAACAGCCAAGTAGTAAGTTTAACTCTCTGTCCTGGTTTCGGCTGGAAGAGAGTTAATTTTCTTCCTAGTAGCTGGTATAGTGCTGTGTTTTGGATTTAGGATGAGAATAATGTTGATGACACACCGATGTTTTAGTTGTTGCTGAGCAGTGCTTACACTAGTCAAGGACTTTTCAGCTTCCCATGCTCTACCAACTGAGAAGGCTGGAGGTACACAAGAAGCTGGGAGGGGGCACAGCCAGGACAGCTGACCCAAACTGGCCAAAGGGACATTCCATACCATGTGACGTCATGCTCAGTACATAAACTGGGGGAAAGCTGGCCGGGGGGGCCGCTGCTCAGGGACTGGCTGGGCATCGGTCGGTGGGTGGTAAGCAATTGCATCATGCATCACTTGCTTTGTATATTCTTATTCTTATTATTACTATTATTATTAGGATTTTATTTTATTTCAATTATTAAACTGTTCTTATCTCAACCCACGAGTTTTCTCACTTTTACTCTTCCAATTCTCTCCCCCATCCCGCTGGAGGGGGAGAGTGAGCAAACGGCTGTGTGGTGCTCAGTTGCCGACTGAAGTTAAACCACGACACTCTCCTCAGATTGTCTTGTATTTCCTGCCATGAGACCACATAAACCCAGAAGACTCTGAAGTCAAGATGCATCAGAACTTTACATTCCTCCTGTTTCATAGTGGTCAGATCCAGAGAGACCTCTTGAAACAGAAGCTGCAGTAGGAGAAAGAGCAGATTAACATTTAACTTAATAAAAACATTTTTCCCCTATTTGGCAGCTGCCAGTATACAATAAACAAGCTTCACCAGTGCTTAATGAAACAGAAGCTCTTAGGAGCTGGCTACTGTTAGATATTGCTTTTCTGGGAGGCAGAGAAGAAGATGTCTCTGCGAGAGATGTGGACTTGTTCCTTTAAAAACAGGAGGAAAAAAAACAAACAAAACCACACCATTGAGTACTTTGGAACTACAACCTGTAACAGAAGACATTGGTGCCCTCTGGTACAGCCTGCTTTTACAGCATGCATGCACATATCCCTACCAAAAAAGTCAAATAGAAATTCCTGCTCCTCTTGGACTGCTCAAATTCCCATGCCAAACAAAGCACTATTCATTCCTATCAAAACCCTGTCTTTTTTTAAAGTCTCTCCCCTTTTTTTCAGTCTACTCTCCTCTCAGCAAGAGTTTAACAGAAATTATTTCCTTAAGCTACCTCTTCCCTTTAGTTAGCACTCTGCTGAGATTGCCTCCTCCTAATACAACCTTCCAGGGCTGATACCAACATATGCATGTGTTTGCATTGGGAGAGCAAGGCATGAGTTCTCATTAGATTAAATAAAATACAACCAGTGCATAGACCCTACAGTAATTACAATTCCTGTACAACAAAACTGCACAACGTATCATGCTATATTATCAACTATTACTACTACTGGAATTCTCTGCAATAAAATGAAGCAAGAGTGCAGGATGATTTGACCTGAAGAACATGCATGCTACAAAACAATGACCAACAAGGAGCGTGCAGTTCATTGTTAGCTAACTTCATTTAATTTGGGCATAAATCACCTTAACATAAGCTAAGACAATGGCAGCTCACACAGACACAGATTACGCTGGAAATAGCCAGTGCTATTTCCTTTGAGGATATTACTCACTGACAAAAAGAGTGGGATCAAGGCTCAGGAAGGTCATCTCCACAGCCAGGGCAACAGAAGCTGTGGGATACAGGCTACGCGCTGCCCTTTACTCAATGGATAACAGGACACAGAGCATTTTAAAGACTAAATATTCAAGCAGGCTAGCTGATAATCACACTGCAAAAAGTTAGTGGTGAGGGAAGTTCCATTTTATTTACAGGCCTCAAAGTTCATTCTTATCTTTGGACTTCAACCTATCGGGGTCAAGTAAGACAGAACTGCATTTGATAATACTACCTCCCCTGTGCAAAGTCAGAAGAGAGGAAGAGGAGAGAAAGAGAGTTGGATAAAAGTCACTGCACTCAAGCTATGACTGAAGAGGGATATTTGTGTTCCAAGACTAGTGACTCTCCAAAAGATGTTCAGGGTCAATTATCCCACTCCTCCCCACAAGCAAGCATTAGAGTATATTTACCTCAGCTTCTGCTATTAGCTGCATTTTCCTTGTTATCACATGGTCGACATCAACCCGGCCTAAGGAAGGAAAGCAAATATTTAACATTTGTATTTTCAGTGATGTGAGCTGCATGTCTTAAGAACACAGAAAGCACAACATACAATAGCTCAGACACTGATTTTTCATTAGTGCTTCTGACTTCTAGTAACGTCCCAGTAAGTTCAAAACTAAGCTGCAGGAAATTCATAAGCTATGACCAGGTATTTTAAACAGCCA